GCTGCTGAAAGTGGCAGTTGATGTCATAAATACTTACATACAGAAATACATATATATATAAATATATATTAAATACAGACGTGATGTGAATTTAATAAAAATAATAATAAAATATTAAAAAAAAGCAGAGGTGCTTTCATATAATATTATATTTTTGGGTACATTTTATCTTAAACTTTTACTATTCTTGTTGTAGCGGCATAAAACATTTTCCAAAAACTAATTTTTAGACAGCGTAAGTGACCGTTAACTCGCTATCCAAGCAGTGACTGCCAATGCACGGGTTACGAAGTTACTTTTCCTAGTGCTCGACAATAAATCAGATACTAAAGCAAAAAGCGACCGTAGCATACATCTGGGCGTTATGTATCATAGGCACCATGTAGGAAAAAAGCAAGTCGCAAGACGCCGACTAAATATATTGTTATGACGGATTTTTGAGAAATGCTGTTGAATTCGGTTTGTTTAACGACTCGGTTTTGGTGAGCTTATGGTGTATATGTGAGTCGTGATCTTGTGGCATAAAAAGAAGCTCGGGATAAATATATAAAATTAATGATCGGTTACCTAACTGACATTAAGTGCTAATTTTACGACACTTTACGCGGTTCTAGAAGGTCGAGTACGAAGACACAAAGCTAATTTAAATTTTTTTAGACTGCTGACGTATACCTGAACTTTACTACTAATCTAGATATATTTATATATTCGAGAGATCTCTGTCGTTTACTTTACCGAGTGTTTCCACTCATTTTTGGTTTGATAACTGGAAAATCTTGACAAGTTTTAGGTTAAAGGGTTTCTACAGCCTATTCTGACATTGCGGAGCCAACACTTAATGGATACGTTTTTGATAACACTTGGTTATCGATTCCAGGTTCTATCAAGTGAAAGTGTGAACCTCCAAACACTACACTATGGTTACCCATAAGATTAATGACGAATTAGATAAATAAACGCGTTAGCTTTAATTGCTCTCGAAGTTTATTCCTCGCACTTTAGATATTCGTATCTTGATTTAAAAAAATAAGCAAAAGTTTCTGCAAAAATCTTTTAAATGTATTTCTTAAGGCCGTGCAGTAGGACTTTCAAGTACATTGTTAAATTTATCGATCATAAAAAGCTGGAGCATGAACAAAAGACAACTGGTTTAGCGCACAATGGTCTTTTGTTAAAAGTGTATTTTTAACACTCTTGTAAATATATGTATTTATATATAGTAATCGAGTTAAATAAACACTTAACGTTCTATCCCAAACAAGTGGAAATTATGAGCAGATAGTCTTATTAAGCTCCACTGAATTTGTGAAGCCATCGATATCAAAGTTTTTTTTAGAAATCAAAGTTTTTTTTTAGAAATCAAGCTGAGCGCCGTGCTACGGCACGATTTATATACGCTTAAGGTCTGATTCTCCAGACATTTTAGGTTACTACACCCAATTTAGCACGCCTACTATTTAGAAGGCTTTTATGTGGGCGGAATGTTACCAAATTTATATTCGCCTAAGCTCTGCTTTTACGCTGGAAGTTTATAAAATGTTTGTGTTAGCATAGCAACAACAACCAGACATTTTAGATTAATACATTTAATTTACCTCAATTGCTATTTGGAGCCTCTGTATGACCAATATGACCAATAAGATTGATATATGATAAGATTGCGAAAAATACTCGAGTTTGCAAAAAACACATAAAATACTCGTATATATACATAACCAATTCTAAACTTGTGTCAATATAATAAATATATAATATTTGCTCACACGCAAACTTACTATATATGCAGTTCTGTATGTATTTATGCACAGTCATATCACTTTTTTTGTTGCGCTGATAGCGTTTTGATTGGGTTGACTGACATACTTGTAATTTATATAATTTAAATTAATTAACAGGTACGATTGTACCTCAAGCTTGTTTAAAAGCCATTGACAGGCGACGAAACGTAATATAATTTTTATACTTAAATTTGAACTACACTGTACGGGTTGAATGGGTTCTGAGAGCCAACTATGCGTATGCCGCAGATACTACGATATTCAAAATTACTCTTCGAAGAATTTATGGAGACTCGTTCTAAGTTTAAATTAACCATTGGCACCTTAAGAATTAATATATACTATGATGCCTCTTTATGGCTGCCATTTAGTCAACTTAGCGACTATACAAGGAAACCTTTTTCTGACTAAATTGTTAACGATCGTACCATTTTTTATACCCTGAACAGGGAACATTAAGTTTGCCACGAAGTTTGTAATACCCAGAAGGAAACGTCGGAGACCATATAAAGTGTATATATAAATGATCACCGTGACGAGCTGAGTTGATTTAGCCATGTCCGTCTGTCTGTCCGTCCGTCTGTCCGTCTGTATATACGCGAACTAGTCCCTCAGTTTTTGGGATATCGATCTGAAAATTTGTACCTGTCCTTTTCTAACAAAGAAGCTGCTCATTTGTCGGAACGGTCGATATCGGACCATTATAGCATATAGCTGCCATACAAAATGAACAATCGGAGTAAAGTGCTTGCTTGGAAATTTTTTTTATTTGACGAGGCACTTCACGAAATTAGGCACGAGTTATTGCTTAAGACAACAAATTATTCTCCACAGAAATTGGTCAGATCAGATCACTATATCATATAGCTGCCATACAAATTGAACGATCGGAATAAAGTTCTTGTAAGCGGCCTTTTGTATTTGTGAAGGGTATTATAGCTTCGGCGCAACCGAAGTTAACGTTTTTATGTAAGTATGTAAGAGGTTATATATAGTTAGAAGGCCGAAAAAAGTAAATTTTTCAGACATTTTTCTGAGCTAAAAGTTTGCTAATAATTATTTATTCAAAAATTTATACACATATTAAGATATCTTTAAATTATATTTTAAGCTCTAGTACTAGTAAAAATATTTCTTTGGAAAAGAGCTACAGCTGATCTCAGCGAGCTCCTCTCAAAACCGTTCCTACGACAGTCGGGTCTACGTAACCGAAACGGACCCGCATTTATTCCGGCCAAGGACTGTCAACTCGGCAGAATTCTGTCGCTACAACAACAACAACAACAGCTCCTCTCAAAAAAGACGTTTTGCAGTGACCACTATACCTCTGAACTGGATAATCTGAAATTAAAAAACCAAACAGATTTCGTTAAAGTAATGTTAAATCTAGTAACTAATCGCAGAAATCAGCAAAATAATTATTTTTTGACAAAATGGCGGTTTCTCAAAAAAAAAAAATCGATTTTTCACCGAAATTTCGGCCTAAAATTGTTTATAAAAAATAAAAAAGATTTTTAACAGAGAGAAAAAATCTTCGATTAATTACTAAAAAATATATAAAAATATTAAGAAACTCGTGTTAAAATTTGAGACTAATCAGTTTAGCCGTATTCGAGTAATGATGGACACCGACTTTTAAAAGAACATTCTGAGAAAAACGCGTTTAAAGTTTGGAATGCAAGTTACTGCCGCTCGGGACTTGTACTTCCAAGCACTCTAAAACGCTTTTTCAAATTTGCGTGTAACTTCGAAAATATTCAGCGCAACGATATGAAATTTTCTGTGTGTATTCTTAAATATATGTACATTAAGAAAAAAAATTAAAAAAAAACGGTTTTTTGAAAATTCTAACTGTATGTAAAACCGTAATTTCGATTTATTTTGAGTAGTTCGATTTAGTACAGATTAAGTTTAAACAGTCAGTCTCTGAGGTTATAGTTAGTTATAGGTATACACAAAAAACAGAACGGCAGTTTGATAATTTTCCTACATAGCTCTCATGTAGCTGGCATAATTAAATTCAGTTTCATCACACGAACAATTAGCGATCACGCACAGCTGATATTAAATTATAATAATATTAAATTTAAATATTATTGCATTCCAATTTATTGCAGTGAGCTATTAAAGTGTCTACAAACATCTTTGGAAAATTAAATAACACTTTATTAACATTGTTGTTGTGCGTGTTTGTTAACGTTGGAGGGCGTGGCGCAGCGTCAAAACGTTTTGTTTTCGTTGGATAACTGTATTTGTATGCACTTTTTTTTATTAGATTTTTTATTAAGTATAGTTGGTTAACAGTTAGAACAATTACAAAAATTAAATACAATTCGAAAGCGTTGTATATTTTCAAATACCAGCTCTGATTGCTCTTGTTTACTGCGTCATGCTTCAAATATTCATAATAGTTAATACTTTAGAGACAGTCTAGTTATGCTTAACTATGATTCTCGCTTTTTAACGCAGATCAGCGATCTTGACAGTTGTTTCGATTGGGCTGTCGATCTCTAAACTTATAACAACTTAGAGCTGCGTGGCAATGATGTAAAGTGATTTTAACTACAGCTCCTGGTTAGACGTTGAAACAGAGCCTAAAGAATTTATACATAAGCTTCAAATAACCGAATAGTAAGTCGCTTTAGGCAATCATGTCTAACTGTAGGCCTTTTCCATTGGCTATATTAAATGGAACGTGAAATAGTGCCTACATTTTAAAGATATCTAGCAGAAATAGTTGCACAACATTTTCAGATTTTTAACGGAATCTCCATGATTAGACATAGAGTCAGTCGTCTAATCTTAATATAGCTTATATGCAACTGAGCGTACATATGTATATGAAATTTTGAAAAATAATTCCGTCAATTAAACATCTAAGTAGATAAAATGAGGTATTGAACCGATTGCATCTGTTTTATACACCAAGCTAAAAAGTATGCTCAAGGAAAAGTACACAATAATTTCAATAAGATATCTTATCTGCTGTTTTTGCCCATGAGCCTCACTATCTTTATTGTTTAAATACTTATATGCGAAATTATATGCAGAAGACACACACAAAGCCATTTTGCAAGCAGCAAACTAAAGTTAAACATTAATAAGAACAACACATGTTAGCAAAACGGGCAGGTACAAGGCACTTCCAATTTGAATACTATAAATACAATATATAAAATTGGAACGGCTAAAGAACACAATATGTTATAAGCGATAGATGTTTCGTTATCTATGAGCGGAGTTGATGGTATAAAAGCGCTAACGCAAGCGCCGCGACAACTCAGTCGTTCAAATACGCCAGTTTTGTTGGCAGATATCTGTTTTTATTAAAATTGTTGAAAATTGTATGCAAATAAGAAAGTTTCGGCGTACATAATAATGTTTATATCAAGTGTGTTATCCGCTCTTGGCGGCGCGCTAATCGCTAACCTAACTGAGATCTTGGCCACATTGGCCTTCATCTGCTTTGCGCTCTACATTTGGTTACAGTATCAATATTCATATTGGCGTCGTCATCGTATGCCTTACATAGAACCGACTATGATTTTTGGCAATCTCAAAGGTATTATCAATTCCGAGGCTGATCCTTGCGCCTGGTTCCAGCATTTGTACAATCATGAGAAGGCCAAAAATCACGCAGCTGTCGGTATTTATGTATTTAATAAGCCTACACTGCTGATACGCGATGTGGAGTTGGTCAAAACGATTCTAATTAAAGATTTTAATTATTTCTCAAATCGTTATTCGGCTTCGGATCCACATTCCGATTCGTTGGGTTCGGATAATTTGTTCTTTGCTAAGAACCCAAGATGGAAGGAGATACGCGTTAAATTGACGCCAGTTTTTACTAGTGGCAAAATTAAGCAAATGTTTCCACTTATCGAGGAGGTTAGTAGAAAAAAATTAAAATCTAAAATTACATTTTTAAAATTACAAAAAAAAAAAAAATATAAAAAAAAAAAAAAAAAAATTAAAAAATAAGATATTTAACTAAAAAAATAAAAAAAAAAAATTATTTCAAAAGGGATTAAAAATAAAAAAAAGTTGTTAATTAAAAAAGCAGCAGCAATATAACCATTGCTAAAATTGGTTAAAGTGTGACTTAGTTGGTGGTGTTTCAACTTAAATATGGTTTGGAAATATGATGTGGTGCGCAACTTGGATATTTGGAGCAAATATGCGTGTGTCCAATGCGACTCGACTCCAATGCATTTTACTAAGCAGCAAATGAAAGTGTTTTAAAATTTAAAAAAATTAAAATAATTTGTGGTGTAAATTAAGTGACTAAAGAACTATATTTTCAAACCTCAAAGGGAGCAATTACTAATAATGTAATAAGGAAAATATTAAAAGAGAAATTTGTAAAAAAAAAAAAAATTTTTAATTCTAATTTCTGTGTTTGTGTAAATTTAAGGCTGTTGATATAAAAATTTTGAGAAACTATGAAGTGATTAACAACGCTTTCCATTAAGAAATCATATACGAAAAGTCGCTAAATGTCCTTAACTGCTCTAGACGCCTTTATTCAAAACGAACGTTTTAAATTTATATATGACTATTTTACAAAACTAATTTCTATATGAATAAATAGGCAAATAAGAAAAGAAAATAATGCCAAAATAAATCAAATATAAGGTATTTATAAAGAACATTTTAAAAGTAGCGCGGAATCACGACAAAAAGTGGTTTTTGAAATATGGGATTTCTCCTAAAGAGTTCTAAACAATTTTTATACCTGCTCTTATAAAACTCTTCCTACGACGCTATAGCTAAATTTAATGTTTGTGACGCATTTAGATATTGATTTATCGCACTTTCAGTAGTTTTCAACAAAACCGCGAGACAATATGTAGCGAGAGTACTATAATAATGACATTTTTTACTAGACCTTATATAACTACATATATAGAATGTTGTAAAATTAACTAACTGATTTATGCTAACTTCTTAAACCAAATAATTCATTACAAATTCAGCCTTACCAGGCGAATTCGAGAAATCTTGCAGATATATAATATTTACCGTTATTTCTTAAATTTTTGCAACTGAAAATTTTCACAGGTCGCTCGTGAATATGATAAATATCTCTGCGCATTGAAAATGGACGCGAAAACCAACTCCACAATACTAGAAGTAAAGGAACCGAATGCGCTGTACACAACCGATGTGATAGCGATTACGGCCTACGGCATACAAGCAAACAGTCTCAACGATCCGAATGGTATTTTCCGTAAGAGTGGAAAGAAAATTTTCAACTTTACTTGGTTGCGTTCCATGGAGTTCAAAGCGTTCTTTTTCATACCTATAATGGTTAAGATTTTCCGCTTCAAAGTCTTCTCCAAGGAGGCCTCAAGCTTTTTACGCGAAACAATCAAGCATGTGATGGAGGAACGCATCAAAAGGGGTAATGTGCGTAATGATTTAATCGACATTTTGATTAAATTCAAACAGGAGGCCGAAGAAGAGCTGAGAGAGGGTAAGAAACCGTTCATTTTGGAGAAAGACGCTTTGGCAGCGCAAGCGGCTATTTTCTTTTCGGCTGGCTTTGAAACTTCGTCTGCCACAATGTCATTCGCTATGTTTGAAATGGCGCATAATCCGGATGTGCAACGACGTTTGCGTGAAGAATTATGTGAGGCATACAAGAATAATGATGGCAAAATAACCTACGAGTTGATAATGGGTCTGAAGTATATGGATAATGTAGTGAAGGAAGTGTTACGTCGCTATCCACCACTACCATTTCTCGATCGCGCATGCACACCGAGCGCTAATGAAGAAGGTTATTCTCTGAAAAACTTTGGTATCGACTTTACGATACCACATAATATGCCTGTCTACATACCGAGTCAGGCTATACACATGGATCCGAAGGTTAGTTTATTCATCACACTTAGTTACTTTTGATGTACATACTTCTTTGTTTTCATTGCTGTAGAACTTCAAAGATCCCGAAACATTTAATCCTGATCGTTTTCTACCCGAAAACAAAAACGAGAATAATATGAATGCCTATATGCCTTTCGGCATTGGACCACATAACTGTATCGGTGAGCGTTTTGCGATGATCCAAACGAAGTTAGGGCTACTCTACTTCTATCGGAATCATTATGTAACGACCTGTGAAAAGACACCGTTGAAAATCCATTTGAATCCTCGTGCCATCATAATACAATCACTGGGTGGTATAGAACTAAAAGTCGTGCGTGATCCATTGTTTTAGAGATTAAGATGCTTGTAAATGAGCATGTTAATATAGCATTGCAAGTTGCATATATGTATGTAAGACAGGTGTCATGTCTAACATGGGTAGAGATTAAGCTGTAGAATAACTGTGATTGAAAATTCAACTTTGCGAAAGAATTTATTGTTTTCGTTTGAGTGATTAATATTTTTGTTGAAAATATAAATAATAAAAAACATCTATCAATATCTACACATAATATATATTATGAAATAATTGGCAGATCTTCTGAAAAATATTTTTATTTGCAGTTTTTAGTTCGTTACACATATTGACACATATTGTAGGTGTTTTCCTTATCAGTTTTTTATTTGTATGGTGGTGCATGTATCTAAAGGCATCAAATCGAAAATTACTGAAACTGGGTCATATCTTCTCTCATCCGCGTTAGCGAATATAATGAACTCTATATTTTTTAAGGATTAAATCGGTCAATATGTGAGCTATCTAAATGGAATCAGAGCTATGTAAGGCATAACTTAATGTAATTTGTGTAAAAATTACTATGGATCCGCTCTTAAATGATGTCTGTATTTAGAACACAGTGATGAAGCTTCTAACATAATTGTTAAGCCTTTCTTGCAGTGTATTTTGTGATCTGATCTGATTATCATAAAAAATGGTGAACTTTAAGTCTAAATATATCTATACGTAAAGCATCAATAAAAAAAAACTATTTGTCTTTCTAATAACATTTATATATATTAATATTTATTGCATTTCATTTTTTATATTTTTTATGTGACTAAATGATTGTAAATATTTACAAATTCGTTGTAAACTCGATACATACAGGGTGTCGATTACGGTTGCACAATACTTGTTAATTTTAGTAATTTGAGATTTGCACGTCTGTTCATAAATATAAGAGAGCTCTCTTTAAAGGAAAGAATATGGAGCGTGTGTCGTGAGATAAGCAATAAGAAAGGTTCATAGAATTTCGTGACGTTACTATATCCTCAAAAACGACATCAGCATATTCAATTTGAGATTACAGAACACCTTGAGCTTAAAACAGTATATTCTTTAATCGCAATGACACATGAATACACAAACGAAGGTCGAAGATCGGCAACAACCAATTACAAATACCGTTTTTTCAAAAATAGAATGTCACGTTAAATGACAGAAATATATGTATGTCGACCTTTTTAAAATAACATCAACATCCTTTTAAAAGACCTGCAGCATTACACTCTAAACTAAATTTGCAATTGCTTGCTCTTACTTTAAGACGTCGATTGGATGAAAGATTATCGCAAAAGTTGGCAATGCTGACTTATGGTCATAGAAGCTAAAGCTTGTTGTTTAGAAAATCGCACGAAGTTCGTTCAGGTGCTCAAAACGTCAAAAAGTCGTATCAGAACCAAATAAATTCATTGGGAAAATGTTGACAAGGCGTCCGAACATTTGTCTTTCTAAACCACAATATACTACAATACTACAAGGTGTAAGCATGAAAGTCAATGCATTATGGTGTGGTGATGTGTTTCATGGCCTGACGTTGGACCGACCCTATATTATATGAAGGACAATATGAACAAAAGCCGTTACGTTCAAATACTTGAAAATACCTTTAGCTGAGTGGGAAATGTACATATTTAAAATGGGTATATCAGCATCGAAAGCAATCCCAAAAATCCTGCTGTGTAGTAAAAATGGTTTCTCGGACAATGCGGTGGAAGTTATAGATTAGCCTGCGGAATCTCTACTCTTAAAGCCTACACAAAATTTGTGGAAAGTAGTCAGGAAGCGCTAGGTTCAATGAGAACTAAAAAATCAATACTGAAATATGGACAAAAGTAAAATCTGTATGATAGTCGTTCTTGCAAAAGAGATGCTAGGACTTAGCGGATTCTATATCCAAGCGTTGCATGCACATAAATTTTATAATAAAGGATATGCTACCAAATACTTATTTTAAAATTTGTTTTAAGTATAATTTTTTAGTTTAAAAATCTGTCTTGATTCTGATCCTATTTTTATGTCCAATGGAATTCTAATGAGGTCAAATAATTATTTATTTTTTACATTTCAATTTAGGAGTTCTTTCACATTTCCAGTGTAGACTAAACTGAAATACATATATATAATATATGAACTACTTCCTTTTATTAATAGTTTTTTTTTATTGCCCAATATTTGCATGGCTAATAAGCGGAATATAAGCTTGGTCATCTATGACCAAGAGCTCATGGCATATAAACGCTAACGCCAGCGCCGCGACAACTCAGTCGTTCAAATACGCCAGCGTTGTGGGCAGATATCAGTTTTTATTAGAATTCATGAAAATTGAATGCAAATAGAAAGTATCGGTGTGCATAAAAATGTTTATATCAAGTGTGTTATCCGCTCTTGGCGTCGCGCTAATCGCTAACCTAACTGAGATCTTGGCCACATTGGCCTTCATCTGCTTTGCGCTCTACATTTGGTTACAGTATCAATATTCATATTGGCGTCGCCATCGTATGCCTTACATAGAACCGACTATGATTTTTGGCAATCTCAAAGGTATTATTAATTCTGACGCTGATCCTTGCGCCTGGTTCCAGCATTTGTACAATCATGAGAAGGCCAAAAATCACGCAGCTGTCGGTATTTATGTATTTAATAAGCCTTCACTGCTGATACGCGATGTTGAGTTGATTAAAACGATTCTGGTTAAGGATTTTAACTATTTCTCAGATCGTAATTCGGGCTCGGATCCACATTACGATTCGTTGGGTTCGAATAATTTGTCCTTTGCTAAGAACCCCCGGTGGAAGGAGATACGCGTTAAGCTGACGCCAGTTTTTTCTAGTGGCAAAATTAAGCAAATGTTTCCACTCGTCGCGGAGGTTAGTAGAAAAAAATAATAACACAAAAGCAAATTAAACAAAAATAAAAATATAATAATTTAAACCAAATTTTATTAAAATAAAAACAGCATCAATAAACCAAAAAATGTGACTCAGTCGGTAGTGTTTGAATTTAGACACGGTTTGAAAATATGATGTGGTGCGCAACTTGGAAATTTGTCGTAGGACTGCGTGTAACAAATGCTGTTCGTTGCTGCATTTTACTAAACATCGAAAGAAAGTGTTAATTATGAAAACAAAATTATGATAATTTATTGTGTAAACAAGAAATAACAGTTCTAAAACATATTAGTGACTACCTCAACCTCAAAGACCTCAAAGAGAGAAAGAGTGAGGAGAAAAATAAGTAAAACAAGTAAAGAAGAGCTTAGTTCGGTTGTAACTGAACATTTTATACATTTGCAACTTGGCAGGATAAACATCTTCAGATGTTGGCAAAACTTTATATTAAAAAGTATTGCGTAAGAATTCAACATTCATTATTCTACGAAATTCGGAATGGATTACAATCTAATTTGGTATTTTATTGTGTTATACAAGTATAATAGGTATATATAGGTAGTATATAGGTCATAAACTCAATTAGTTTCATTGTTATATTTCATCCTATGTAGTAACCAACCTAACCGGTTTATAGTCAGTTAAAAAGCTGGAAAACTCTATACAGGGTATATTGGCGACAGAGAGAGATCTGGGCTTGTGGCACAAACCTTTGACATTGCTATTTTAAAGCAATTTTATATATAATATAAATAATACACACTGACCGACATATTCGGCATAAAACTTGTTAGAATAACGAAAATCATTAAAAGTAGTGTATGCGAGTTGGGGTTAGTATTTATTTGATTTTATTTATATTTGCCAATACGACCTACTATTAACATGCCACGTACTAATAAAATGCTCGCTGGGTTTCTTTACGGTTTCTTACATACAATCACCAATTATGTGGAGTAAAGTCAGCCGGATGTTCGAAAATTCTGATAATAGTTATACAGCGGCTAGGTCAAGTTTTCATCCGCTTTTATTCATTTTAGGCAAAAAGATACACTGTTATTGAGAAAATACGCTCTCTCATTTTTATTGAGATAACTCACATATTGGCTGATATACCGATACCGCATATATAAAATCACCCGGCAGTTTAAAAATCTTAATATTAGGTATATGGGGGCTAAGTGAAGTATTGACCCGATTCAATCCATTTTGGACATACAGACCTAATATTATTAGGAAAATATCCTCTCTCAATTTCAATTATATATCTCACACATTGACCGATATTTTCTACATATTCGGGGGCTTGAACAGTTGTAGTCCGATTTAGACCATTTTTGGTCATAAGGTGGCCTTTAATACTTTTAAGGCATTATTCGTGTAAAGTTCTATTCGGATACATTGATTGGTTCTTTAATTGTACACTGGAAAGTGAAAGTATCAGATGGAATTTAAAATTGTGTTATATGAGAAGTAGGCGTGGTTTTGGTCCGATTTCCTTCATTTTGTACATTTAATCTACATCCATTTTTGCCCTGTAACATAGAAATATTATACGAATATTATGTACCAAATTTGGTTGAAATCGGTCGAGCAGGTCCCCAGATATGTGTTTTCACCTAGCAGTGGGCGGTGCCAAGCCCAGCATCCAATATTGACACCGGCTTCATCAAATTTTTAGTAGTTATTAACAAAACCGTTATGCGGGGTGTGAGCGGGGTTATCATCAGTTTTTAAAAAAAAATGTATTAATATAACGCCATATATAGAATGAAGTGGAATTATCTAACCGATTGATGCTATCTGTTTAAACGAAATACAGTCAAACCTGAGTAAGAGAGAACTGGATAAGCGAGAAAACTCTATAAGTGAGAATAATTCTCAGGTCCCGAACTTTGACCGCTCAAAAATCTCTATGAGTGAGAAACAAAAACCTCCATAAGTGTCAGTCGTTTTTCCCACTCTGACCTCTATAACTGAGAGCCTCTATTGTATTTACCTCTATAAGCGACAATTTTCCTATGTATGACTCATTCCTTTTTTTTCAGGAATCAGGAACTATGTTGTTTTCTTCTAATTCAAAGAAATAATATTTAACTGTATTAACTTATTTGTCAGGCTCACTGCAGTTCATAAATATCAGTATAGCTCATACGATAACTTATAATGTCCAAACGAAAAATCAACGTGTTGTCGTTTTAGTAAGAAACCGCTACAAGCGAGAAAAAAATTATGGTTCCTTGAACTCTCATTAACCAGGTTTGACTGTAATTAATTTACTATGTGCTCAGCATATTCGAGAAATTTTTAAGATATATTTACCGTTACTTCATAAAATTTGTGTATCTAAAACTGTTTACAGATCGCTCGTGAATATGACAAATATCTCTGCGCATTGAAAATGGACGCGAAAACCAACTCCACAATATTAGAAGTAACGGAACCGAATGCGCTCTACACAACCGATGTGATTGCGATTACGGCCTACGGCATACAAGCAAATAGTCTCAACGAACCGAATGGTAGTTTCCGCAGGAATGGAAAGAAAATTTTTCACTTTACTAAGTTTCGTTCCTTGGAGGTGAAAATATTGTTCTTCTTACCCATTTTGGTTAAGATTTTCCGTTTAAAACTGTTCTCTAAGGAGGCCTCAATCTTTTTGCGCGAAACAGTCAATCATGTGATGGAGGAACGCATCAAAAGGGGTAATGTGCGCAATGATTTAATAGACATTTTGATTAAATTCAAACAGGAGGCCGAAGAAGAACTGAAAGAGGGGAAGAAATCGTTCTTTTTAGAGAAAGACGCTTTGGCGGCGCAAGCGGCCATTTTCTTTTCGGCTGGCTTCGAAACTTCGTCTACCACAATGTCATTCTTTATGTTTGAAATGGCGCATAATCCGGATGTGCAACGACGTTTGCGTGAAGAATTATATGAGGCATACAAGAATAATGATGGCAAAATAACCTACGAGTTGATAATGGGTCTGAAGTATATGGATAATGTAGTGAAGGAAGTGTTACGTCGCTATCCACCACTACCATTTCTCGATCGCGCATGCACACCGAGCGCTAATGAAGAAGGTTATTCTCTGAAAAACTTTGGTATCGACTTTACGATACCACATAATATGCCTGTCTACATACCGAGTCAGGCTATACACATGGATCCGAAGGTTAGTTTATCCACCACACTTAGTTACTTTTGATGTACATACTTCTTTGTTTTCATTGCTGTAGAACTTCAAAGATCCCGAAACATTTAATCCTGATCGTTTTCTACCCGAAAACAAAAACGAGAATAATATGAATGCCTATATGCCCTTCGGCATTGGACCACATAACTGTATCGGTGAGCGCTTTGCCATGATCCAAATGAAGTTAGGGCTACTCTACTTCTATCGGAATCATTATGTAACGACTTGTGAAAAGACGTCAATGAAACTCAATTTGGATCCTCGTGCCGTTATATTACAGGCTCTGGGTGGTATAGAACTAAAACTCGTGCGTGATCCTTTATTTTGAGATTATGCCGTGTGAATGTGAATATAGCATTGTAAGCTGCGTAAATGATGTGTAGCAATGTATAGAATAATAAAAAAGATTGCCACCAGTTGGAAAACTTTGATTTTAATCTATGAGTCATTTGTGTTGAAAATAGTTATATAAATATTTAAAGTAAGGTTTTCATTGTTTTTGTTTGAGTGATTGATTTATTTGCAAATAATATAAATTTGACCATAAAAATACACATACATAGGTATATATTTGTGTACTAATATATATATTTTTTTCTTATCATATTTTCTACAAAAAATCAATCACTCAAGCAAACCAGTGATTTTTCGAATACAAAAATATTTTCAATACAATTTACTCTTAGATTAAAGTTAGAAATTTTCAACAGATGGCAATGCTATTATAGACATGAATCTTTCTTAACCTTTAGAAGTTTTTTAAAATGACCAACGTTAAAGCACTTCTGGTCTAATTTGACCCAATTTATGGTTTTGATTTAAATTAATTTAACATACTAGAACTAAACTATTTTATGAAACTTTGCATATTGTATTTAGCTGAAATTAATAACTAAATGTACTATATTTAATAGCATTTATTTAGTATTGCAAATATAGAATAAAAAAACAATATCAATTATTTAAAACAAAATGTCAAAGAATGATGATGGCAACTCAGGGTTATCCAACTAAAGTGATGTGTTCTTCTAGCAATTTTCGACCAAATTGATAAGATGCAAAAATATTAACTTAAGTTACATTATGACCTTTTAATCGAGCTGTCACATGCCTTGCATTTTTTTAGACATAGCTTCTTTATCTTTGTCTTTATACGGTTCTTTGGAAATGCCATTCATAATCTGTAACCGCTTCACAAAGAATTCAAAATGTTATCACATATTTTGCTGGTTATGTGAAGCCAAACGATAAACTCCTGTAGTTGGATATTAGCTATCGACAAAGCGTCCTGAACCTATCACAAATCTGCTTAAGGACTTTATATATATTTTAGCTATTTCACCTGGATGTCTGAAAGTATGAGATACGAGGTATTTTTGCCTTGTCCTGGCAAAAGCGATACGTTCGAGAAGGAAGTGTTGCAATGATTATGTCTCATCTTCTACCAAGCAGCTGTTGCGGCTGGAATCCGGTAAGATATTCAATACTACTGCATGAACTCTGATCGACCTGACCATTGAAAGGTAGTTCTTGCTGAGCACGAAGAGTTTCCTAGACCTCTTGCGATTTACCCTAGGTCCGAAGGACTTTGCGACTGAACAGCTGGTTTTAGTTGACCAACGCTTGCTCAGCTAGTCTGAAACTCAAGAGTCCAGCAGTGGACCACAAGAAACAAGGGAGCTCCTACCCGCACAGCCAGCGGACTGAATGCTAATATCGCTGCCTTACTATCAGAGTGGATAGCTATTGATATTTTTATTGCAGCCATATCGGCTTAGAAGATGCTGCAGTGGTCAGAAAGCTTAAAACTGCAGTTCATAGAATGTTCCCGACAGTGTACACTTTCACCAACCTTCCCCGTAAGCTTTGATCCATTCTTAAAAGGCTCATCGTCCCGCTCCTCTCGCAGGTTCTTCCCTCACATGCCTCCCTCGAAGGTTGAGAGGCGACAGACAGGACTAGGCAAGTTTAGGCAATAAGTCAGCCCAAATATTCCATTATTCAGGAAACGGTCACACATTCGTCGTTGAATTCGTTTATTATTAAATCTTATTACTCTTACTATGATTACTTCGTTAACTTTCGACACTTTTATTATTTGACCGATATACTCCAGCTAACCAAAGAAAACCAATAAAAGCGAACATTTCCAAACAGAGAGAAGAACTGTACTTGAAGCAAAGCCATTTTGTGATTTATTTATTTGTGAAATACCGAAAATATATACAATTAAAATCACTCCTAAATGCCATATTTCGATTATATTTTATGAGTTTAACTAAATACTGGTCAATGGGTGTCAATCCCATCAGCAAGCCTTTGAAATTTACTTAGTCTTAAAATATTAAAAAAAAATTGTTTGCTGTTTTATTTATTCTTCTTGAACAAACCTCAAGTATAGTCCACCTTTAACTTCCAGCATAAATCTTTTTGGATCAAATCGAATTTCTTTCGTCGTTTTCTGACATATTTCTACACGATGCCGCTTTAAGATATACAGTAAACCGACCTTGACTTGTAGCATGCCAAGTCGACTGCCAATACAACCATGTGGTCCGGCGCCGAATGGTAAATAAGTCATTGGTTTAATGGTGTGTAGTTTATTTTGGGAAAATCTTTGTGGATCGTAAAGCTGTGGTTTGGGCCAGAACTAGAAGAAATATTAGATTTAATTAATACGAAACCGGGTTTCAGGAGCAACATATTCTTTAAGATATGGTAATATTCGGTATTTCGTGGATTTAAAACGGAAACTAGAACACGAGAATATTATGGTTGTGTTACAAAGGATCACTTCAAATTAAATTATATTTATTGATCTCACGTTCAGCAAGTGCATTTGAAAACAGGTTCAGTTACGTTCTGAATTTTGTAAAAAGTAAAATCTCTACCAATTAAGATAAGATCTTCAAAATTTTAATTTTAATAACTGCAACTTCTTCCACGTAACCTTATTTTATGGAAAGAGAACAATGTACAATTCTAACTATAATTCTTAATAATCTTTAAAACAGGATTCCATAGCTTCTATAATCGCAAATTGAACAAGAAGATTGAACTAGTACATGGTAAAAGATATCTAGAATAGTTAGGTAGATAGTACTGGACTTATTTCCACTTTAAGATACTCTAAAAGAGATAAATTTGCAGTGTCTCTTTAACGTGTTTCGAGCTGTAGAGCTTTAATGTATACAAATCTTACCTTTGGATCACTATGTAAGCCCAAAATGGAAATATATGCCGGCACACCTCTGGGTATGCTCAAATACTTCTTCCCCTGCTCATACCATAACGTGTGCTGCTCGCCATTCGGCAAACACTCACGATTAATAAAGGGTGCTGTTGGATAGAGACGTAATCCTTCGGCGACCACCATATGCATGTAAGGCATATGCAATAACTGTTTGTAACTTACACTGCCATTGGGTGGATCTCGAAAATAAGTTGAAATTTCGGTTTTTAATTTTCGCTGAATTGCCGGCTGCTTTGCCAATTCGTATAATATGAGCGCAATCAGTGAAGAGGACGTCTCAAAGCCCGCTAATAGAAAAATACCGACTTGCGCAGCGATAAAGTCCGGATGACGCAGCCAAGCGCTGTAAGGTTCTGAGTCATTCAAATGCTGTTGCATGTTCAATAACAAGTTGATAAGATCACCGTTATTAGGCGTGCGCTCACTCACTTTCAAACGTTCCTTCACCAAACACCGTAAGTAGTTGGCGTATTTGTATGTGAAAAGTTTTGCTTTAAGCAAACGCACTGATTTCGGTAGAAAGAATATTGCAAAGAAATCGATAATCTTACGCAGACTGATTTGGAATAGATCTTTACACTGCGTGCGCATCTCGCAGCCATCATTTCGTAGGCCTGCCGTGTCGATGCTATACAATAGCGCCGCTGTGACGTCTGTTGTGTAGAGGGCGCACATTTCTTTGACCTCAATGACCGCACCGACGCCAAATCTATGTTGGGACACTTCCTGCTTTATCTTACGTGTGATATATCCTTCTAATAGTTCGCCACAGGTAATAAGTTTTGGATACATTAACCTTTTGATATGACCACTAGTGAAAAGTTTCGAAATCTCCCGTCGACTCTTACGCCATATCGTATATTTGGCCAAAGGCAGCGTTAAAGCGCCCATGGGATCACTATGTAGATCAGCAGCCTCATAACGATTGGGAAAATTAATGAATTGTTTCGTGAGTAACTGTTCGATCAATTGCGGTTCACGTATAAGTAGAGCGGGCGTTTGTAGTATATAGAAACCAAAAAATGGTGCTGATTGAAAAGTTGACGCTTCGTAGAGTCCGCGAAAATAGTCACCGAAAGAAGTACGTAACAACAGTAGTGATTTTAAATTTCCCAAAAAAGGTGTAGGCTCGAGATATGGTATTTTGAGACGATGCCAATAACTGTAACGGCGTTGCAACCAAAATTGTATTAAGGTTATTGTGATAAAGATGAGCACTATTGTGATCAGTAAATGGTAGCTGTAGACTGACATGACGTTAATTGGGCGCTGAAAAATCCATTAAGGCAGAACGTTAAACATTGGATTGGATGTTAACTAATTTCGATGCGGTGATGCTAAAGGCTCTGGTCATCCAAGTTGGTGCGACACGTCAGAAGTTATAGATAAATAAAAGTGCTGTGGTTCTTAGTTTGTGGTTAGCGTTCATAAAGAAAACAGTTGGAAGTCTAAATTATAAAAAATATTATGATGAAGTGATTCCGTACTGCTTTTGCTTTATAGTTCAGATATATTAACGGCTTAACTTCGCACTTCGGTTCAAAAATTTACTAACAATCAACTACTCTAAGTCTATGTGTAGATAGGACACACCTGAATTAGTCGCTCCCTTATGAGTTTTATATATTAAACATTAAAACTACCCGGAATACGTTTATGCGTCTTCAAACATAATGGAATTAAACGGCTCACAGCGCCTCTTGCTTCTTTAACTACTTATTGGCCATGTTAGTTGCTGGAACCGTTTCACAAAGATCGTTTGACACATCATGACTGTTTCAATACCAGTTTATGCTTTGCATAGGAAACCGAAGGTAAATGATGCTTTCGTTACCGTTATATACCATATATAACGTTATAGTATTATATAACTCACTTCTACTAACTCTCCCCATAATAGTACCCGAGACGACTAAATTCGATCCAGAGCGTTTGGCACCACACATAATGAAACCGCTGAGACCCCTACTTACATATATGCTCTTTGGATTGGATCCGCACGTCTGTGTAGGCGAACGTTTCGCTATGCTGCAAACCAAAATCGAACTCACCTATTTTCTACGAGTACTTAATCAGAAAGTAACTCGAGATATCTATGCAGCTGGATCGCAAGGCGATAATAATACGGCCGAAGGTTGTATTTATCTGAATGTTGTGCGCAGTCCGCTGTGTGAGCGTATATACTTGTATTGTGTTGTTAGTTGCCGTCTACAGGTCTGCGACGATCAACGCTGAGTGTGCGAAACGCGCGAATGAGTGAAAGTTATTTGATGTCATACGATTTTAAGAGCACTTTAAGGCCCACTGCACAAGCAAAAATATCAATCAATAAACTACACACATTCTATGCAAGGAAAATAATTTTTTGCAATTTGAGACTTGGGTCAACAGCATTTTTGCGTGTTTTGGGTAATTTATAAGATTCTCTAGTATTCATTTTCATTTTCGTTGTGACACTTAAACTCACGCTGTTGTACTATTAAATAAGCATTTTCATTGTAATTTTTGAATTTTTAATTCACAATAATACTTCGCATGACACACGCGATCACGAAGGGATCTTATGCCAGCAGCAATGAAAACAAAAATTTCAAAATCTGTCATATGCTTTCCTTCAAAAAAGAGTTAGGAAATGTAGATTGATAGGATAGTCTGAGATGTTCTGACCAAAACACTCCGTTTTGAACTCCTATCAACTTCAAGGTCCCACATCGACATACATACTATACTTGTATATGTTGAGCTACAGTTGAAAGGCAATAATATTAGTTCCATCAAGTTTTGAGTCTTATTTAACCCTAATTTATTCACATTAGACAAAATCATCGCTACACGCTAATATAATATATTGCAGAACTTTCATGTTAACTGGATCTCAGACTGAACTCCGACTTCTTTTAAAAATGTAGCGGTATCAAACTCTCGTTCAAATGATCTATGTTAACCTACCGGTAGAGAGATATTATATGTACAGTAAAGTATGGCAATCTTAGTGTCTATAACTTTCAAGTGATTCTCATTTTTATAATCGTTTTTGTTTTTTAACTTCCAGCTAAGATGTACTGAGAGTTATCTTAACTTACCATGCAAGTATAACGGTTCTCTAAAGAAAAGCTAATGCATTTTCGGTGTAAACCAGTACTGACAATTGTTTAGGTCATAAAATCTGTGTGTAAATAAATGGGCGTGGTAAGACCTATGAAACTACTTAATTATATAATAATTATACACATATCCTCATGAGATGAGCCCATCTTCAAATCCGGCCTTTGCGGCTATTCCTATATTATATTAAGAAAGTGGTCTCGTCAAAGGAAAACTTTGCGCATGTTCTGCATAACAGTATACTTTGTAGACAATTTGATAATAATAAATACGATTCCTATTTTAAGGTTTCAGTAACAAATTTACATTTAAAATTTATTTTAAATACTTTTTTATTAAAGAAAATATTTTATCGAATTTTTAGTTGTGCCGGTATCTTTAGAAATTATTTCGATTTCAAATATTCACTGTCTCGCATTACGTTCATAGCGTTTGTCATTGACCAATTTCAAGTAAACACCGCCCTTATAGCTTAAAAGTAGTGACAGGGGATCGAAAATGATTTCCGCCGGCGTTTTCTCACATGTGGTCGCATAATGATTCTTCAATATATGCACCAAACCGACCTTCGCCTGCAGCAAACCGATGCGGCTACCAATACAGTTACGTGGTCCATTGCCGAACGGAAAATAGGACATAGGCTTATGGGTTTTCTTATTCTCGGCGCTGAAGCGTTCAGGATCGAAGGTGTTTGGGTTGGGCCAATACTAGAATTGAGATATAGCGATGACGATAAAAATTGCTTGTAACTTTAATTTATTTACTAAGTAGTAGTTACGGCAAATTCAGGCTAAACCAACTCACCTCGGGGTCACGTTGTATACCAAAGATTGGTATATAAATAGGCATACCTATTGGGACTGTGTAATCGTAATACGGTTTAAGATCGAATTGATTTTCTCCCTCCTTCGGCAGATGTTCGCGATCGAGATAAGGTAGTATTGGATATAAACGCAACACTTCGTCCACTACCATACCCAGATATGGTAGATTATTGATAGTTTCATATGAAATTGCACCCTGCTCAGCTACGAGAGCTTCACAAATCTCATTGCGCAGACGTTCTTGTAAATCGGGTCGTTTCGATAACTCGTATAGCGCGAATGTCATCGTTGAAGATGACGCCTCAAAACCAGCTGAGAAAAATACCGCAGCTTGTGCTGTCAACACATCTTGTAACTGAGCATTGTACTCGCCTTTCGCAACAGCCTCTTCTTTCAGGCTCAACAACACATCGATAAGATCGTTACGTGTCGCTTTGCTCTCCTCTCTTGATGACATTACATGATTGATGGTGCCACGTAAAAATGAGCTGAACTCCGGCGTAAAAACTTTAATGCGCAATGTAGCGACCCACTTCGGAAAGAAAAAAGCGACGAAGAAGTCGAAAGCACGACTGAGTGTAAAGGTTATAAATTTTCGTCCTTGTGTGCGGAATTCGCCATTTGGATTTACAAGACTATTGGCTTTCACACCAAAAGCGATGGTGGCAATCATATCGGTGGTGAACAGTGCACAGACCTCTTTAACTTCGGTTACGAAAGCGTCGTCAGTTTTCGCATACGAATTCAAATGGGCTTCCAACTCAGTGCCGATCTATGGACAATTAAAATTATATATTAATACAAAATTTAGGTATTTTTACGCGTATGCTAACCTCGGTCATTAGTGGATACATTTGTTTGATCTTTCCCGTTGTGAAAACTGGCGTAATTTTTGACCTCAGATCCTTCCATTGTGGATTGTGTATGAAAAACAGATTATTCGAGCCCAAAGCATCATCGTGTGGATCACAGCCAGCAGAACGATTGCTGAACTTCGGAAACTCTTTGATTAGCACGGACTTAATAAGTTCCGGTTCACGTAACACTAACGCCGGCTTGGTGAGTATATAAATGCCAACTGCCGCGGCCTTTGACATTTTCGCATCCTTATAAATGTCAGATAGATATAAGTAGAAACTATTCCTCATTGTAAACAAAACATCCATATTGCCAATCAGTGGCAATGGCGTCACATAGGGCACCTTATTACGTTTCCAGTAGCCATATGTGTATCGATACCAAATGTAGACCAGCGCCAAAAGGGTCGCCAAGAGGCAAGTAGTATCTACCGACAGCATTGTAAGCACTGCTTTTGAAGTTTGTAGGGGGTAAGGAGGGCAGGTAGAAGAAAAATGAAAGAGCGAGGAAGAGAGAGATATATTTTATATAAATTTTTTTTATGCAAAAGCTATTAGAAAAACCGTTAATAATGTTAATCGGTTAACCGACTTGTGTGGTGGCCAGTTGGCAGCCCTGAAAGCCGCAAGAAATTATTTTTTCTGTAATTTTGACAATTTTTTCCTAATCCTAACTGAAAACCTGATCGTTTCACATTTCTGATCAAGAGTCTAGTCTAGTCTAATAATGCTAGCCAAAATATTATTTATAGAATTTTTGAAGCCTAAGGTGCGACCTTTTACATTTTTAAGGTTCGTGTGGGTACAAAGTCATTAACTTTCATCAACGGAATATTCCGATGTTGCATTCAAAATGTAATATCTAAATACGAACTTTGAAGCCGAGCAGTGTTTAAAATAGAAGAGTACTTGTAAACGGAGTTATGCGACGATACTTAAAAATAAAATCTACATATCATTATAAGAAAATAGCTTTTATCGATTTTTGATGTTAATTGGCGCATTGACCTCGAGACATACATATGTATGTACAATACTTTATATATAGTGCCAACTGTGCTATGCAGAAGTCTTTTCATTATACTAAAACCACTCTTTGAAAAGTTCTTATAAAGGCTTTTGGAACAATAGTCTCGTTGCTATGGCTTACACTTGTCGATCCGCATATTAAACACCTCTCAACTTTAATATATTTACTTATTTATTTATAAACCCTTTTGTATGCTTAACTACAATGTGCAAGTAAGCTTTCTAAGATCTTTTCATTTTATGATAAGATATTATTAAGTATTGCCAATGCGCCGTTAGTCCCACAGGGTATGGTATGTGCTTCGATTGTGCTGATAAAATAAACGTCGAGTGCTTATGCTTTGTTTGCTAGCTCGTGGTAGTTTAATAAAAAATGATAAGCTAATTTCTGCAAGTGTTTGAACAAACACCAGTTCTATCAGTCCTATAATATATTTTATAAATTATATAAAATACATAAAGTCAAGATAAGATGGTCTTAAATACTTAGTTTGGATACCCGAAACCCCGAAAAAATCATTTATACATACATATGTTAAAATGAATTTTAAGAAAACGTACTTGTACCTTGTACTTTTATATTTTATACATATTTATAGAAGATTCTTATTCCTTAAATAAGCAGTTATAATAATAAATTTTATAACAATAATTATATTTTAAAATTAATTATGTTGCATTTTAAATTTATATTCTTTTTTTTCTAATATAATTCAAATTATATTTTATTTATTTTAATAATATATTATTATCAGTATTTTTTTAATTACATATTATTATTATTATTTGCTGTTTTAAATTATTTCCTTTTGAAGCTACTTTTTGGTATAAACTTTATTAATTTATTTATTTTGTGTTTATATTAATTAGCTATATATATCTACATATCACATATAAAAATATCCGATATAATGCAAGTCACATGAACTTTTAACTTATTTGTGTTTATTTTCTAAATGGTAAAAATATTGATTTTATGCTTTCCTTATCTTTTTTGTCAATTTTTATTATTATTTTTATCAATTTTTATTATTTATTTTTTAATTTTTAATAATTCTCTCAGTATTTTTTTATATTTTTTAATAATATTTTGTATTTTTTAAACTAAACTAAAAATTCAAACATTTAATTAGCTAATTTTTTTACCAATCGTAATTATTTTTATTTTCTTTATCGATGTTTATTAATTTTTTTATTAATTTTTATTAATTCTTTTAATATATTGTATTTTTTACTAATTTTATATATTTTTTAAACTAAATCAAAAATTTTAATTATTTATCAATTGTTATTAATTATTTTTATAACTTTTTTAAAAATTTTTATTTTTTTTTAAATACTTGTATATAAATGCATATATATATTTTTTTTTTTAATAAATTTTTATTAATTATCTTTAATTTAATATTTTATTTATTTTCGAAACTATAAATTTAAATTATTTCTACGCGTACTAAATTGTCATTGTTTTATTTATCTTTAATAGAAGTTACACGTTTTTCTAAATTTTCAAATACTAAAGTACTACATTTTATTCTTTTACTTCCATAATTTATTCGAAACCTACGAGTTTATTGTATGTTTAAAAAGAAATTAAAATATTAGCTCGAATTATTTTATAAAGCGCATTAAATTGTTAGTACTTTTTTTTTTGCTCGAAAATGCATATTTCTTTTTTTAAAGTTTCTATAAAGTCTATTTTTATTTTTATTATTGTTACTATATTATATAATTTTAAATATAATTTTTTTTCTTCAAAAATGTATTCAAAGCATAAATATTTATTTATTTATTTAAAAAAATGAACTACAATCTCAAATAATGTTATGAAGCTATTTGAATTGCGCTTAATTTATTTATTTTTAACGGAAAATTAGTACAATAATTCTTTTAAATTTTCGAGCAATGTACAATACTATAGGTCATACTTTTTTTTCACTGACAACATGTTTAAAAAACATGTAAATTAATATTTTTTTTAAATTTTCAAATAGTACATAGTATATTTTATGCTTTTTGCACAAAAATTTTGCTAAAACAAAAAAATATTTTTCTTTTGCTTTAAAATATTGAAGATTGAGATATTAATGATTTTTTAAGTACATTAATTGTAACAGAAAATAGATATTTCATCTATTATTTCAAATCATGCACTATATATTTTAATATTGTATTTGTTCAAAAATTTGAACAAAATTTGTAATTTCAAAATTTTTAAATGTAATAAATTAAATAATTTTGTTTTTGTTTTTGTTGCAGACGTTTAACTAAAAATCACAAATTAATTTTTTGTTACAAAACTGCTCATAATTTCTTATTAGTAGTTTTCATTCTTTAAGTATTTCTATAAAATTATATTATATAATTAAAAAAATATCCACTTTATTATCTTTAACACTTTCAATTTTTTATTCAAAATTAAGCATACTCATGGTATTAGTAGATAGATACCTTAAGCAAAATATTATTTATAAAAGAAATTTTTATTTTCTGACGACCTTCTGTAACGCGCTTCCACAGTAACACTAAGTATGCTAGTCCTACAGGCTGAGCTTTTATTTTCTCTCTAAAATATGCATTTTAATCGATTGTTAAATATACATACATAAGGATGTTTATATGAGTATTTGTGTATATGGGTTTGGGTAAATATGTATCATATGTAGAATTGTGTTATCAGAATTTCGAGCAAGCAAAAAATAAAATTCAAATTTTCAATTCTTTATCTTTTATATATGTATAGATATACGCATATATGTAAGTAGTATATTGGTTCATTTATACACGCCTGGGCGACGTGATTGCCAAAATTAGGGATAAAGGGATACCCAACTTATTCCAGTGTGAGAGCGCGTCAAAATTAGCGTTTCTTTATAACATTTTGCATGGTAGCCAGATCAGAAAAAAAAACCAATTGTAAGTATTTTTTTGTTGTACTTTTCAAATAATTTAACTTTCTTTTTTCCACTGCAACGATTATATATTTATTATTATGACGGTTTCATATTACGGTGTGCGAATTCGGTCTATAACCACGCCTACCTCCCTATCAATTTTCAACCAAATAGGTTCAGCCGTTCTTAAGTTATAAATAGCGTAACTAATGTATCGATTTTGCAAAAAAGACATCCGTTTGGATCACTATGTAAACCCAAAATGAAGATATGCCAGTACTTCTCAGGGTATGCTCAAAACTTCTTCCCTTTCCCATACCACAACGTCTGTTGATCGCCTTTCGGCATACGCCCACGATTAACAAAAGGCTGTCAGCTATTGGCTGTCAGCTAATGGCGTGGAGGTAAAGTCCGGATGTCAGAACTTAACAGTGTGTTCACATCTCGCAGCTATCATTGTGTTTGTTGTGTCTTCTTATTTTAAGATTTCAGTAACAAATTAACATTTCAAATTAATTTTAAATACTTTTTATTATATAAAGATAGTTGTCGCATTTTTAATTTTACCGGTGCCCTTCGAAATTAGTTCGAATTTTGAACATTCACTGCCTCGCATTTCGCTCATAGCGTTTGTCATTGACAAATTTCAAGTAAATGCCTCCCTTATAATTCAAAACTATGGACAGTGGATCGAAAGTGATTTCCGCCGGCGTTTTCTCACAAGTGGTCACATAGTGATTCTTCAATATATGCACCAAACCCATCTTCGTTTGCAGCAAACCGATCCGACTACCAATACAGTTACGTGGTCCATTGCCGAACGGAAAATAGGACATAGGCTTATGAGTTTTCTTATTCTTGGCGCTGAAGCGTTCAGGATTGAAAGTGTTTGGGTTGGACCAATACTAGAATTGAGATATAGCGATAACGATAAAAATTGCTTGAAACTTTTAATAATAAGTATGGAGTTATACGTAAGTAAACCAACTCACCTCAGGATCACGTTGTATGCCGAAGATTGGTATATAAATAGGCATACCGATTGGCACTGTGTAATCGTAATACGGTTTAAGATCGAATTGATTTTCTCCTTTCTTCGGCAGATGTTCGCGATCGAGATAAGGTAGTACTGGATATAAACGCAACACTTCGTCCACTACCATACCCAGATATTGTAGATTATTGATAGTCTCATATGAAATTGTACCCTGCTCAGCTAGGAGAGCTTCACAAATCTCATTGCGCAGACGTTCTTGCAAATCGGGTCGTTTCGATAGCTCGTATAGCGCAAAAGTCATCGTCGCAGATGACGTCTCAAAACCAGCTGATAGAAATACCGCAGCTTGTGCTGTCAACACATCTTGTAACTGAGCATTGTACTCGCCTTTCGCAATAGCCTCTTCTTTCAGGCTTACCAACACATCGATAAGATCGTTACGCTTCGCTTTGCTCTTCTCTCTTAACGCCATCACATGATCGATCGTGCCACGTAAAAATGAGCTGAACTCCGGCGTAAAAAGTTTAATGCGCAATGTAGTAACCCAATTCGGAAAGAAAAAAGCGACGAAGAAGTTAAAGGCACGACCGAATGTAAAGGTTAGCAATTTTCGTCCTTGTGTGCGGAATTCGCCATTCGGATTTACAAGACTATTAGCTTTCACACCAAAAGCGATGGTAGCAATCATATCGGTGGTAAAGAGCGCACAAACCTCTTTAACTTCGGTTACGAAAGCGTCGTCAGTCTTTGCATACGAATTCAAATGGGTTTCTAACTCTATGCTGATCTATAGGTGCATAACGTGGAATAAATCCATTTAAAGAAATATATATAATATTAATGCAAAATTGAGGAACTTTTATGGGTGTACTAACGTCAGTCATTAGTGGATACATTTGTTTGATCTTTCCCGTTGTGAATGTCGGCGATATTTTCGATCTCAAGTCTCTCCATTGTGGATTGCGTATGAAAAACATATTATTTGAGCCCAAAGCATCATCGTGTGGATCACAGCCAGCTGAACGATTGCTGAACTTCGGAAACTCCTTGATTAGCACAGATTTAATAAGTTCCGGCTCACGTAACACTAATGCCGGCTTAGTGAGTATATAAATGCCAACTGCCGCGGCCTTTGACATTTTCGCATCCTTATAAACGTCAGATAGATATAGATAGAAACTATTCCTCATTGTAAACAAAACATCCATATTGCCAATCGGTGGCAATGGCGTCATATAGGGCACCTTATTACGTTTCCAGTAGCCATATGTATAGCGGCACCAAATGTAGACCAACGCCAAAAGGGTCGCCAAGAGGCAAGTAGTATCTACCGACAGCATTATAAGCACTGCTTTTAAAGTTTGTAGGGGGTAAGGAGAACAGGTAGCAGAAAAATAAACGAGCGAGAAGGAGAGAGTGATATTACATGTATTTTTTTTTTAAACAAAAGTTATTATAAAAACCGTTAATAATGTTAGTTGGTTCGCCTACTTGTGTGGTGGCCAGTTGATAGCTGTCAAAGCCGCCTTTTTTAAATTTTTTTTTCAAAGGGAATCGATATTTCTTCAAAGATTAAAATAAACTAGTTTAATATTTTTCATGCAAAAAATTTGTATAAGGCATAAAAAATTATTGTTTTTTGTTCTAAATTTTCAATTCTAAAAAAGTTTAAAATATTGTTTTTATTTTCTTGCAAGCGTTCAAACAAATTCAAATAAATTTTTTGTTAAAGAATGTAGGTTGAGTTAATTCATATAGTTTTTAACCGTTAATTATTGCGATAGAAATATATTAAAAATTAAAAAAAAAAAATAAAGCTTCCACTTTATTATCTTTCAGAATACTCGTTTTTTTTTAGATATATTTATCTTACGTAAAATATTATTTATAAAGGAAGCGTTTAATTTCTGACGCCCTTTTGTGACGCGCCTCCACAATAACACTAAGTATGCTAGTACTACTGGTTTGAGCTTTTATTTTCTGCCTAAAACATACATTTTAAGAGATTTTTAAATGTAAATAAGGGTGTAAATATGTATTATATGTATGTTAGTTTTATGAAAATTTCGAATAAGCCGAAAATATAATTCAAATTGACAATTCATTATCTTTAATATAAGTAATTAATGACTAGTTTACGCTCACGCATATGCGGTGTGAGTATGTGTGTGTGTGTGTGCACGAAGTTAAACAAATAATTAAAATGTCTTGCTATTTGCATGCTACTTAAGCTCGTCATATATAAAACATTGCCATTTTTTATACTATCAATCAAATTGTCGTAGATGTAAATAATAAGAATTTATTTGCACTGTGTAAATATGTATGTACAACAATGCAATAAAATATGATATCATATACAGTTAATTGTCAATAAGCGGTTTTACGACCGGCTGAGTGTAATTACACAGATACATGTATGTCGGTATCTGTATGTACGTATGTACGTATGTATGTATGTATGTGTATATGTAGGCATTAAATCAAGGTCATCAGCTAGCAGCGCCATTCAAAGCCATAAAGCCAAAACATCTCGGTGATATTATTGCATCCAATACTGTCACAATATAGCTCTATGCACAACCTAACTCCTTCAAGTACAACAAACGATCCAGCAATATGAAGCTTTCTATAATTTCATTAGTATTCACCGTCCTCGCGTTCGTGATAAATGCATTGCGATTAAACGATATCTAGAGATCACGTCAGCGAAATCAAATTTCCATCTCTTCTTTAATGTTACATTTAGCTAGGTATTTCCACCATTTGTTGAACTCACCTAAAGTAGGATAAAGATGTCACAACAATGCCAAAAATCTGTGAATATTAATTGCTACATCTTATACTCTTCTAATACGGAATTCTAAAAGCTGTCTTGTGAGGCTCTGGACTAAGTTATAAACAAACATTTACCGAGTCAAGTTCTCTTCAAATCATGATCTTACGCGTAACCTTATTATATTGGAAAGACACCAATCTACAATGCTGATAATATTTCTTAGTAATCTACAGCAGGATTTTCTCCTTCAGCGAAAACATTTTTTTAATATTATACAAGTATATTGTATTTCGAATTTTTTAGAACTTTGAGTGTTTAAATTTATATAAATCTTACCTTTGGTTCACTATGTAAGCCCAAAATGGAAATATATGCCGGCACAGCTCTGTGTACGCTGAAGTACTTTCCCCTTCCCATACCATAACGTCTGCTGCTCGCCAATCGGCAAACACTCACGATTAATAAAGGGTGCTGTTGGATATAGATGCAATCCCTCTGCGACCACCATATGCATGTAAGGCATATGCAACAACTGCTTGTAACTTTCACCGCCATTGGGTGGATCTCGAAATACGTTGAAATTTCGGTTTTCAATTTTCGTTAAATCACCGGCTGCTTTGCCAATTCGTATAATATGAGCGCGATCAGTGAAGAGGACGTCTCAAAGCCCGCTAATAGAAAAATACCGACTTGTGCAGCGATAAAGTCCGGTTGACGCAGCCAAGCGCTGTAAGGTTCTGAGTCGTTAAAATACTCACTCACTTTCAAGAGTTCTCTCACCGCACGCCGTAAGTAGTTGGCGTATTTGCATGTGAAAAGTTTCAATTTAAGCAAACGCACCGATTTTCGTAGAAAGAATATTGCAGGAAATCGATAATCTTACGCAGACTGATTTGAAATAGATCTTCACACTGCGTGCGCATCTCGCAGCCATCGTTTCGTAGGCCTGCCGTTGCTATACAAGTACAATAGCGCTGCGGTGACGTCTGTTATGTGTATTGTTATATATTGTGCATATATAATTTGTAGAGAAAACAGCTGCAGCGTAAAGAACTAAGCGAAATCTGAATTCTAACGTCTACTCATTATAAATTCAATACTTGATGAAATTAGTTGTCGTTTCCCAAAATACAACTCAATCTCTCAAGGTCAGGTCAAACAGTTCACTGTTTACATATCCGTCGACTATTTTTCAATGCCATAAAACGATGCGCTCCGTACGCTTAAAACTACAGTCTTCATTGTGTGCTGCTGACACTGAAACGCAATGTGGTTTGAAAGTTTACTGCTCTTACTGCTCCTTATTAGCTTGTCATACGCTTGGTTGCGCCATCGGTATGACTATTGGAAGCGCCACCAGGTTCCACATTTGACGCCCACTTACGGCGTTGGCAATTTAGGTGGCCTATTTTCAATGCAACGCAGTCCAGCAGAGTTTGTGCAGAGTCTTTATGATCATACGGCGGGTCGTAATGAACCGTTTGTCGGCGTACATGTCTTCACGCAACCGGCCGTTTTGTTACGTGATCCGCAACTTGTGAAACGTATTTTGGTGAAGGACTTTTCCAAGTTTTGCGACAGGTGAGTGAGAAGGAAGAGTATGTGTTTCAATATAGAATTTAGTGCTGATTTTCTGCGTTACTAGATTTTCCAATTCTGATTACAAACGCGATCCGTTGGGTTCTTTAAATATATTCTTTCTGCGTAATCCCGCCTGGAAGGAGGTGCGCTTCAAATTATCGCCGTTCTTTTCCAGTGGAAAGCTCAAGCATATGTTCCCTTTGGTGGAAGAGGTAAGTTTGCTGAAGATTTGTGAAGGAAATCCACATTTTTTGCAGTACATGACTAGATATCTAAGTAGTAAATCATACGAACGACTTTACAGCTTGAAACAATAGTTGTCAACAAGCGAACTACTGACAGCGAGTGAGTGCAATTAGAGACAGCTTTGTTTGGAAGTTTAGATTGATCTTAGCAGAAATAGGTCTACCCAGATGAATTTAAATGAAAATGAAAAACTCAGAAATTAATAAAATTGACAAAAACTTAAAAGAAAAGAGCAAAAAGTAGGTAGGTAAAGCAAAAAGCAAGATTGAAAATTGTAAGAAGAATTGTTATCGAAGTAATCTGAAAATATTTTACCCATATTATGAAACTCCATGCATGATCTAGTGTTTTCGGAATAAAGTGGGTTAAAAAGTCTGTAAGTCTTCTTTCTCTTTGCCTTTATGCGGAATATATTCCTTTGAAAGTAAACCAAGGAAATCGATTTAAAGATGCAGATAATCCGCTAATGATCATAAAGGGATGAACATTAAGACTTTGATTTAATTTTAATCTTTACATTCTATATGCATAACATTATTTTATATATTTCGCTATAGGTCGGCTGCGAGCTAGATAAATATTTACTGTCTCAAAGTCTTGACTGTGACGATACACAATCTTTCATAATGGAAATGAAAGAGCTCTGCGCTCTCTACACAACGGATGTGATAGCGACTGTCGCTTACGGCGTACAAGCGAACTGTTTCAAACAAACGAATGGCGAATTTCGGCGACATGGTCGTGCTGTGTTCGACTTCAGTGTGCGACGTTCACTAGAATTTATGGTTGTGTTCTTTATGCCACACTTAGTACCTTATCTAGGCTTCAAAGTGCTGCCACTTACCACTACAGAGTTCCTACGTTCCACAATCAATTATGTGATGGAACAACGCGAGTTGTCGGGCAAAAAACGTAACGATCTAATTGATATACTTATTGAATTTAAAAATTCGACAAAAAATAAAAAATCTGCCAGCGGACTTGTCTACGAGGGTGACATCTTGGTGGCGCAAGCGGCGTTATTCTTTACAGCCGGATTTGAGTCATCCTCGGCGACAATGTCCTTTGCACTGTACGAGCTTGCGAAACATCCAGATTTGCAGCAACGTGTACGTGACGAAATTGCCGCGGGTCTAGAACTCACTGATGGTAACGTGACATACGAATTTATAGAATCATTGGAGTATACGCAAATGGTAATCGATGAGGTATTGCGACTTTATCCACCACTACCGTTTCTCGATCGCCAATGCACTGCGCCGGTAGAGGAAGACGGTTACTCGTTGGAACCATTTCACAAATATCGTTTGCCACACGGCATGCCTGTTTACATACCAGTTTATGGTCTACATATGGATCCGAAGGTAAATACTATTTGTGTTATATTACATGTACACTGTTATTAACATTACCAACAGTACTATCCCGAGCCGACTAAATTCGATCCAGAGCGTTTTGCACCACACAACAAGAAACAGTTGACACCTTATACGTATATGCCATTTGGATTGGGTTCACACGCCTGTATCGGCGAACGCTTCGCTATGCTGCAAACCAAAATCGGACTCACCCATTTTCTACTTAACCACAAAGTGACGACTTGTGCGCGCACCAAGATTCCTATGCAGCTGGATCGTAAGGCGATGGTGATACAGGCCGAAGGCGGTATTTATCTGAATGTTGTGCGTAGTCCGCTTTGTGAGCGTATATAGTGTGTTGTTAGTTGCCGTCTACAGATCTGCGACGATCAGTGAAAGTTATTTTGTGTCATATGATTTTAGGGGCACTTCAAGGCCCACTGCACAAGCAAAAATACCAATAAACTACACACATTTTATTCAAGGAAAATAATTTTTGGTTTGTAATTTGAGACTTGGGTCAACAGCATTTTTTGCGTGTTTTGGGTAATTTATAAGATTCTCCAGTATTCATTATCATTTTTGTCGTGATGCTTAACCTTACGCTGTCTTACCATTAATTAGGCATTTTCATTATAATTTTTGAAATTGTAACGGCACTCCACACCGGCACATAATACACGCGATCACGAACTGACTTCATGAAGCAATGAAAATATAAACTTCAAATCTGTCATACGCTTTCTTACAAAGTTAGGAAATGTAGATTGATAGGAGGATAGTCTGATGGCTCTGTCCAAAGGATTAATTTATGATCTCCTCTCAACTTCAATGTCCCACAAAGTCATATTCTGCTACAATGTCTGAATATATGTTCGAAAAGTTGTATACTTCGTGACAAATACGTAATTGTTGAGGAAAAGCTCCGTCTATCAAGTTATGGGTCTTCTACTTTTAATATGAGGGTCACCTTAAATCTTACACTACTTCCAATCAGAAAAGAATTATATATTTAAAATTATTTTAAGAGCTTAATTATATAATTAACCAGCTTTAGGTTATGTATTGTATGATAGTTTTCTCTTCTACATTTTAAAGGAAATTGGATTAGTTATGCCAGGTTTTGAGTCTTATTGAACCTTAGTTTATCCGCAAGAGACAAAATCATCGCCAAATATTAATAGTTTGCTGAAATCTTTGAAGGCTTATGGAGGGTCTAATCCGAACTCTGACTTCTTTCAAAAATGCAGCAGTACCAAACTCCCGTCCAAGTGATTTATGTTAATCTGAGGGTATAGTAGTCTTAACCCGGCACCGACAATTTTATTGGTCATAAATGTAATGTGGAAATAAATAGGCGTGGCTAGAGGAAAACCAAGCTCACACGTTAACATAATTTTATGTTTTAAAAAGCTCGTGCTACTTGACCTTTTCGGTTCACATATTCCTATAACAAGGAATAGTTCTCGACATATAAAAACGTCTTTGCAGACAACATACAAACTAATATGCTCTTCTGCTTTAAGCTTGGATTCCAAACATACAGGGTTAGAAAGGTACAACAACAAATTGCCATTTATAATCCATATATTTTAAACACTTTTGTGCTTAATTTTTATTAAAAAACAAAACTTATTTTAAAACATTTTTTAATTATCTCGACATTTTTCGAAATTTTTTCGAACACTCATTGTCTCGAATTGCGGTCATATCGTTTGTCATTGACAAATTTTAAGTAAATGCTTGTTTTATGACTTAAAAGTATGGACAGTGGATCGAAAATGATTTCCGCCGGTGTTTTATCACATGTCGCCACATAATGATTCTTCAATATATGCACCAGACCAACCTTAGACTGCAGTAAACCGATGCGGCTACCAATACAGTTACGTGGTCCATTGCCGAACGGAAAGTAGGTCATAGGTTTATGGGTTTTCTTATTCTCGGCGCTGAAACGTTCAGGATCGAAGGTGTTCGGGTTGGGCCAGTACTAGAAGCAGGTTGAAAGTAAAATTTGTTAAATGTTTTGAGAATAACTAACTCACCTCGGGATCACGCTGTATGCCGAAGATTGGTACATAAACAGACATGCCGCTTGGCATTGTGTAATCGTAATACGGTTTAAGATCGAATTGCTTTTCACCGTCGTTTGGCAGATGTTCGCGATCGAGAAAAGGTAATACTGGATATAAACGCAGCACTTCATCCACAACCATACCCAGATATGGTAGATTATTGATAGTCTCATACGATATTGTACCCTGCTCAGCTAGGAGAGCTTCACAAATCTCATTGCGCAGACGTTCTTGCAAATCGGGCCGTTTCGATAACTCGTATAGCGCAAATGTCATTGTTGAAGATGACGTCTCAAAACCAGCTGAGAAAAATACCGCAGCTTGTGCTGTCAACATATCCTGTAACTTGGTATTATACTCGCCTTTCGCAACAGCCTCTTCTTTTAGGCTCAACAACACATCGATAAGATCGTTACGTGTCGCTTTGCTCTCCTCTCTTGAAGACATTACATGATTGATGGTGCGACGTAAAAATGAGCTGAACTCCGGCGTAAAAACTTTAATGCGCAATGTAGCGACCCACTTCGGAAAGAAAAAAGCGACGAAGAAGTCAATGGCACGACCGAATGTAAAGGTTAGTAATTTTCGTCCTTGTGTGCGGAATTCGCCTTTTGGATTTACAAGACTATTAGCTTTCACACCAAATGCGATGGTGGCAATCATATCGGTGGTGAAAAGTGCACAAACCTCTTTAACTTCGGTTACGAAAGCGTCGTCAGTTTTCGCATACGAATTCAAATGGGCTTCCAGCTCCGTGCCGATCTATAGACCATTAAAAATATATATTAATGCATAATTAAGAAACTTTTATGGGTGTACTAACGTCAGTCATTAGTGGATACATTTGTTTGATCTTCCCCGTTGTGAAAACTGGCGTAATTTTCGTTCTCAAATCCTTCCATTGTGGATTGTTTATGAAAAACAGATTATTCGAACCCAAAGCATCATCGTGTGGATCACAGCCGGCTGAACGATCGGAGAACTTTGAAAACTCCTTAATTAGCACCGTTTTTATAAGTTCCGGTTCACGTAACACTAACGCTGGCCGGTTGAGTACATAAATGCCGACTGCCGCAGCCTTTGACATTCTAGCATCTTTATAAATGTCGGATAGATATAGATAGAAACTATTCCTCATTGTAAACAAAACTTCCATATTGCCAATCAGTGGCAATGGCGTCATATAGGGCACCTTATTGCGTCTCCAGTAGCCATATGTGTAGCGGCACCAAATGTAGACCAGCGCCAAAAGCGTCGCCAGGAGGCAAGCAGTATCTACCGATAGCATTATACGCTCTATATTCGCAGAGTATAGGGAAAATATTTAGAGGAGAGAGAGAGAGTGTGAGAAAGAGAGAGAGAGAGTGAGAAAGTTTTTTTATATAGAGAGTTATTAATATAAACAATCTATTATTATTATAAAAGTCGGCTATTTTGTTAACAGTTCACCGACTTGTGCGTGGCAAGTTAGCAACACCGAAATCCACTTAAAATTATAACAGTAAATTTGATTTGTATTTTTGTGGACCTTTGCTTTGCGTAAACAAATCTCGCGTATCATTTTTTTATACTCTTGCAACATGTTACTACAGAGTATAATAGTTTTGTTGACCTAAACCTAATCGAGATATATGCATATTGAGTTAAGAGTTAAAATTCAACTGACTGTCTGTCCATCCGTCTGTCCGTACGACAAAGTTTTAAGTTCCACATGACTCTTTCACTTTCCAACAAACAAATCAAGCACCAAATAACGCATCGAGATAAAACTTTGCCCGAATAGTGTCTTTAAGATGAGTGACCTAATAACCGATAACTGTCAAAATCGGATTACAACTATTCAATCCCGCGAATACCGAATATGTGAACCTTAATTGCTATTGCGAAAAAATCCTTTCCTGCTTATACAATGCCCTCTGTCAAATATGGGTAGAACCGGATCAATACATTCTTTAGCCCAGCCCCTCTTAGTGTTAATATAAGGTTTTGCCAATGCTGGAAAGCAAGTCCCGGCTTTCATGCTTGCAAGTTGCAATAGTATAAAATGTTCGATTACACCCGAACTTAGTGCTGCCATACTTGTTTCTATATAATTATTGCTTTCTATTTCTATACAAAACTGTCTACAATTGCAAGCCGAAAACGAAAACTTATTGTATTAACATTTGAATATTTAAAAACGAATTTGGATGCCTAGCAGCGCTTCGGTGATAAAAAATATGGACTGAAAGGTTGTATAAATCTTTTGGTTTTTTCCATAACAGCATGATAATTGAAATATGTTTTGTTATTAGATAAGCTTCATGAAAACAAATATCAAAATAAATAGCTGATAAAATCGATACTCAATATTCTGGCAGTGGAGTTAACTCTACTTTGTTAACACTACTTTTGATATTGGACTCTATCTTTTGATCAACAAGTAATTGCCGCGTTATCTAGGAATGGGTTTAAAATAGCAAACTATTTGTAATCGAAGTGTTGTTAGTGACGTCATAGTCGACATATCACTTTGACGAAATAAATTTAACTTATTTTTAGGGTTAATTTGCGGGCTGACTTCGAGACCTGACCAATCTGCTATACTCTATTTGTAGACTCAAAAAACCTGTGCTCAATAAAATTACATATAAGTTCCGATCTGCGGAAGATTCTTTCGGAAGAATTGGCCACGCTTGTGATCTTGTGATTTGATTGCATTAGACTGGTTTTCATGAGAAAACGTCAAGCCACTGTTCTATGATAATAAACCTGAAGCAAAATTGCACCGACAGCATGAACTTTATAAGACGTGGCTAGTCATTCTCTAAAAAATACGCTTTAGAAGAAATTCTATATACTATAATTGATGCGCAATTAAACTGCAGGATTAGTAAGTGCCATGTAGAAAAAAAAATGCAAACTCGTTTGAAATAAATGATTTTCAAGAAGTATTTAATTGCCTAAAGCACTCGTCGTTAATATAACTAGCTATAATAGCATAACATACTTGTATTTACATACTTCAAATATAACGTTGTTTATAATTGACTAGATTGTGCAAGTAATCTCGCTAAGATCTTTTCCGTATAATGATAAGAAAATGAAAATTAGATTAAACAATTATACAATACGTTAGTAATATAATATAATAGTAATGGCATGTGCCATTAGCCCCATATGAAGCAGCGATTGCACGTCGGGTGAGCTGATACATTGTAAGAACGTGTGCTTAGACCTTATTTGGCTGGGTCGGGACTGTTTAATAAACAATGCTTAGCTAGTTCTCTCATAACGTGCTACAACCAATAGTTCAAAAATATATGAACATAGAGTGACTATAAAATGTCCAAAAATATGTATAAATACGAAAATCAGCTTTTTGAAATTTTACTTCTGAGTTTAATTTACGATTCATGATCGTTATTAGAAAGCTTGTATTTAATTTTACATTTTAGATATGTATATTTAAAGAAAAATACTTTTGTGCCTTTTTTTAAGAAAGGTGCGAAAATTGCACATAAAAAGTATATATATTAACTCTTAAATACATAAATATTTCCTTTAGAATTTTACTAACACCTTTGTGAACACTATTTTACTTGTAGCTAATAAAAATTAATTGGCAACGCGATAAAAGTTAATTGTGTTGTATTGTAGGTTTACTTTATTGTTATTTTTCGCTATAATACTACATATTTTTTAGCATTATTATTTTATGTTATTTTTTAAATTTGTTTATTGGTTATATTTTTTAATTTTCTAGTTAAATTTTTTTTATTTTGTATAAACACACCTTGATTTTCATTATATATGTATGTATATAATAGCCTGTACCTAACCTAACTTAACTGTGTAACGCTCAGAAAGAAATATCGTAGACACCATAAAGTAAATATATGTATATATAAATGATCAACATGACGAGCTGAGTCGATTTAGCAGTGTTCGCCTGTCTATATATGTTATACGCGAACTAGTTCCCCAGTTTTTGAGATATCAATCTGAAATTTTGCACACGTTCTTTTCTCCTCAAGGAGCTGCTCATTTATTAGAAACGCGAATATCGGATCACTATATGCTATAGCTGTCATACAAACGATCAAAATTAAATCCTTGTATTGTAAAATTTTTTATTTCACAAGATATCGTCACGATATGCAACATGTATTATTGTCCAATCCAATGCTAAAATCTATGAACTTATTACGCAGATCAGACCACTATAGCATATAGCGGCCATACAAACAGATCGCACAAATTTACTTAAATTTCCCATAAATAAAAAAATTGTATTCACTAAATTTTCAAAATATTGAATTTTATAAATTTATATTTTTGCTCCAATATTGTCCAAAGTATATACAATTTTTTAAATTTTTAATATAATTTTATTTTAAAAAGTACAAACTTAAATTATTTTTCAAGCGCATTGCATTATTATTTATGTATTTACTTATTATTATTTATTTTTAACTGACATTTTGACATTTTTTCTAAATTTTCGAACAATTCAAATATTAATACTTTCTTCATAACAAAAACGTTTTTAAAGCATAGTGATGCATTTTTTCTTCTAAATGTTAAAAATATAGATATTATGAGTTTCACATAATTTGTGAATGTTACAAAAATTTGTCCACAACAATTGTTTTTTTCTATCAATTTTCCTTTTATAAAAATAAATTACTTTTATAAGCTATAAATTCAAAGTATTTTTGTAAGCGCACTAAAATATTCTTAATTTTATTTCATTTTTAGCAAAAGTTAAACATGCTTCTAAATTTTCAAATACTACATTAAAAAATTAAATTCTTTGTGTTTTGAAAATTTATTTTTAACAGTAAATTTATATTTCTTCTTAGTGTTGCAACAATGCACTTTATACCATAATTTTTCACACTAAAAATTTGCACAAGATATAAAAATTTATTGTTTTTTCTAAATTTTTTAAATTTAAATTTAATAAATTATATTTTTTTCTATATATGTATAATATTTTTTGTTGCAAAATTTTATTTAAATCACACAAAAATTGTAAATGTAATTAGAAGTTATTCACAGTTCTTTTACTTTAACCGTTATTTATTTTTAATTTTTTTTTAACAAATTCACAGTTTTCTTTACTCCTCAACCAGTAAATACTTTTAATGTTATTTTAACAAATAAAATTTTCCACTTTATTATTTCGCACAACACTTGTTAGATAGATACCTTTAGCAAAATATTATTTTTAATTGCGATTTAAATTTCTAACGACCTTTTGTAACGCGCTTCCACAGCAACACTAAGTAGACGACTCCCACAGGTTTGCGCTTTTATTCTGTGCCGGCAGCGCTACAATAACAATATTAAAATATACGTTCTAAGAGAGTGTTAAATGTACATAAGGAAGTATGTAAGCATGTGTATCTAACTACGTAAAAGTGTTATCAAAATTTCGCGCAAAGCAAAATTACATATTGAATTTACAATTTTTCATCTATCTTGCAGATATATGTATATATATATATGTCTATTATATCTATCATATATATATATATATATATATGTCTATTTACATAGTATATGCATACATAATATCTATATGCACACATACATATGTGTGTAAAATATTAATTAAGATGTGAATACTTATTAATTAGCATTTTGTTGCCAATACGCGACCGCGCTTCTAATTTCACCGGCGCGCAATTGTGAGTCGTAAAACATTCTCTCGTAATCACAACACTACTCGACGCCTATATACCTCTACATACAATACATATACACATGTATGTGCGTGTGTACTTGATGTTAAACCAACAAACTTACAAACTATTGCTGTGTATACACTACTACAACACGTAATAAATAAAACATTGCAGTTTCTCTCTACTATCAATCAAATTGTCGTATATGTAAATAAGAATTTATTAGCACTGTGTAAATATATAAAACAAAGCAATAAAATATGATGTAACATACAGTTAATTATCAACAAGCTGAGGCTTCCAATCCTACCGGCTTAGTGTAATTATATAAACATATGCATGTATGCAAGCATGCAAGCATAGAATAAATCAAGGTCGTCAGCTAGCCGCGCTTTTCAAAGCGATAATGCCGAAACGTCGCGGCGATATTACTGCATCGAATACCGCCACCAAATAGCTCTCCGCATAACCTAACTCCTTCAAGTACAACAAACGATCCAGCAATATGAGGCTTTCTATAACTTGCGCAAAGCACATACGTAGCATATAGTATAAATGCATGTAATGCGCATCGGCCGCGTATTGTTTTTGCACATTATCCACAATAGCTGTGTCCCAGTGCAAATTGCAATTTTGTGTCGCCGCGAACTTTTTACAACAAAGCGCCACATACTCATTAAAATTAGCATATTTACGCACTTTACCGACTTGCAACTTTTGCCGCATTTCTTGGGCGCTATCGCAAATCAGAACTTCAAGTAGCGCACGATAGTAGAGTGAAGTGTTCATGGCGCTGCGTTCGCTGGTGACGCGCGCGAACGATTGTGTGGCCAACATGCGTGCATTGCGGCCAAGCGTTAAACGTTTGTCGCGCAGAAATTGACTCATTGGGAAACCAGGCGTTGTTTGTCGTGCGCTAATCGTTTCATTTTCAAAAAACTCCGGTGAAGCGTATTCCTCTTGCAGCAGGTGGTAGCAGCAGCCGATATTACAAATCAATCTGCATTGTGGCTGTTCGTGAAAGAGGCGCAGGCAGGTGGTGGCCAAATTGCCGCAGGTGTGTAGACCGGTTAAACAGATAGCGTTAGTATCGGTGACTTGCGGAAATTGTTGTTGCAAGAGTTGTATAATATTCAAGTCGGGTGTAATAAATGCAGCTGTGGTTTTGTAAAGCATATCTTTTTCGTTCGCATTTGCAATTGTTTCAGGCGTGAAGGTAGCAGGTTTTTGCACATTTTTGCTACGACGTTTAGGTGTTATGCCTTGTTGTTGTAATTCTGCGCGCTTCACTAAGCCATTCCAAACGCGCTGTTAGTAAAGTTAATAAATTTGTTTGAAGCTGTTTACTTTTTTTATGAGTAAAATGAAATACCTCTAACTTGCGAATGCGTTGCAAAGCATTTTCGGTGTTTAATTCTTGAAAGTCAATACCCAGCACGCGATGCTTGTACTGTAAGGCAAGACGTGATGATAAATAGCCTTTGCCATCGCCCGCATCCACAATATATGCTTCTGTGTTGCTCGATACACTGTGTATTAAGCGATCGATCAGCGCGGCTGTTATCTCTACCTTTAATACAAAGATAAAATGTATATTCGTTCTCAAAAATAGTAAAGCCAACAACAAACCTCATGTCGTTTCTTCTCACTCATAAACTCTTTAATTGTCAAATTTTGCGCGTCATCTTGCACCAATCCCAAAGCTTTATTCAACTGCTCCATTGGCGTCAGTATATCAGTGCTTTTATCTAAATAATATTTTCTACAGTTTGCCACAAATTGCTTAACACCACTAAATTTGTTATCTCCATCATTATTTTGCCAAAATACTGTCTCAATGCAGCTTTGTACGCTTTCCACATCAGGCACTTCATGTTTTAACTCTGCGGGCACATAATTTTGCCAATGCTTTTCTGTCAAATAGCTAACCATATGACAGTTGACAAACTCCCAATGTGGCTGCATGAAGTGTAAAATCTCCTCCAAGCACGCACGTATTTGGCTGCTACTCATTTCTTCAGTTATTGTAAATTTTAAAAAGACAAATCTTTAACTTTTTCTGCCACACCACTATTACTGCTGGCGTCTTTTACTTTTTTCGTTGTCTTTCCCACCTTGCCCGCTGTCAGTATACGTACACGTTTATATTGATTGCGTATACTCTCCACCATGCCAATTATATCGGCTTCGGGATTATTATCACGTGGAAACTGATCTATGCTGGTACGTAATTGTTGTAACGCACGTTGCACTTTATCAGTGTGTTTTTGTTGTTGTTGTGCCACAACAATGCCATAAATTTCACCTAATTCCTTGCCAAGTCGTATGCCCTGCTGGTAGCCTAGTTCATAACCTTCTTGTTCTCCACGTGCACGACCCACTTCTAAACCTTCTTGGTAGCTCTCTTGCCCTATATTTTCCTCTGCTAAAAAATTTTTGTCCATCAAATCATTGAAATCCTGTTCCGCAGCGGCCATAACAAAAAAGTAGAAATTTTAAAGGCGTCTAAAATAAAAATGATTTGTTGGCGAGTAATGCACAAATTACTTACAGCTGATTTTGATGTATGCTTCATCTTCAGCTTAGCGCAAACTATATATTCACAATGGTAAAATGGGAACACAGAATGTTGTGTGTTATTGTGAATATGTTGTTAGTATTTCAGCTTGTGCAAATACAAGCTTGTCAATAATAAAAAACTTCAAGCAAGCTCTTTATCGGTTAAGTCACTGTTAAATTGCTCAACGGCCCTACCAGCGCTTTGTGTTGAAGTTTCTATGAGTTTCTTCAGATCAAATTGGTAAATGTAATTGAATCTCTTGTACGTGTGTTTATTCATTCCTTATTTACGCCAAGGGCTTATCGGTTGCATGGTTTATATGCGTTAGTTTCGGCGCTAATTCTTTAAATGTATTGGAGTTTTGGTAGTCGTTACTTGCTGACTTATTTCTGAAAGAGATACGAATATTGCCGTTAGATCAAAGGCAGTTTTGTATTTTTATAGACGAAGGGAACAAGTTGTATCGATGGTCGAAGCAAAGGGAAAACGATTTTCTGAATACTCAGTTTGAGAGACATACCAGACATTAATTTAGTATGTTTGATAGGTTAATCGAGTTTTTAAACCAGAGAACTTAGAATAATTGCTCGGAAAGAATGCTCGGAATTTTTCAGCTTTATTAGCCGTCCAATCGAACATCACACTAAATTCAATTTGCACCTTCTCGTTCTTCTAAGTTCTCTGTTTAAACTACAATAGTTGTGGATTTGTCTCTCAAGCAATTAATTATGAGTGGAGAGTTGGTGACAACTTATACTGGTTGTCTCTCTGCGAATTATTTTGAAGAATACTAGCGAGTTAAAAGTCCATTGGGCAAATAATAGTTGGTATTCGTTCCTATTAGATCCGGGTCCTAATAATTGTCTCCGCAACTGTGAGCTTGGAGGGCTAGACTAGAGAAAAGCAGAGTATCAACTACTTGGTTCTTCTATTTCACAAAAATAATAAGTCATTGAATTCAAGAGAAAGCGGCTTATATTTTTCGCAAATATTTGATATGATTTAAATACTTGAAAACTTGACCTTGTCTACCGAGGCACGACTGCTGCTTTGGGGAAAAACTTTCACTTATACTCATGCTGTACACTGTATAATTTGGGTTTTTCTAAAGGCCAAAGCCACCGGCTTCTAATCGCACAATCAGTCTACTTCCATCGAGGGTCGGTCAGCAGCTTAGTATACCTCTATACTCCAATACATATCGAAGCGATGTTTAACAACATGCGTGACATTGAAAAATTTATTCACCGCTTTACATGCAACACCTGCGCTTATTAAACTACAACAAAAACGAGCAAAAACCGAACACCCTCACGACTCCAGCGAAAAAAATGTCTAAAAAAGTTAACAACGGAAGTGGTAAGCTAAGAAGGCCACAGTTAACGCACACACAGCGCTAGAAACTATAAACTAGCCAGGGGACTTTGACTAGAATTTATATACCGAGGTACTTACGAAAGAATATATGTATGTATGAACTTGTATGTTACGTTCATACATATGTTTCGTTTTGCACATCAAGTTTAAGGACTTTCTTAAATTGTTAATGCAGCCAAACAAGTTAAAATCGAAATTTCGAAATTAGCAATGGGACGATATGTTGAAATCCTTATCCACAGGAGAAGTGTGGATCACACAAATTTTTTGTCATTAACATATGGGTTTGTTGTTGTAGCGGTAGAAAATATTTCGGAAATAATTTTGAGAAATGTTGCCTAGGTGATCGTCTTTGGCCGGATAAAAATTTTTCATCGTCCCGATTACGTAAATCCAAATGTCATATACTAGTTCTCAGTAGTGATGTCTACTCGCTTCCTGAATTTAACTTGTTTAAGGTTCTATGATTGCACTAAATTCTTGTTGGTATACATATGTATATACACAATGAACATATGATCTATAAAGCTCTTTTGAGCCCAAATTAGTAAGCGAAGATCTCTTGGTGTGGAAACTGATCAAAGGCTCATGGTTTTAATATCAATAACTTTAAAAGGAGAAATAATGCAGATGAATGTAATAAAACCGAGAAGCTGCCTTATTGGAAAGGTGCTTTATACTCGCTCCTTGTGACCGAATATACTGCATGGAACAAGCGAACTTGAATCAGCTCTAAACTTTACATTGAGTTAGATAAATATCTGTAGGTAAAATTTCGTTCCTAGTGTATGGTTTCGATGAGAAAGAGAGTCTATGTATATATCCCAGAAATTTAAGAAGCCTTAAAAGTGTCTCCACTAAATGGAGAGCCGTTACACAAAGCTTCCTCGATCATTTTAGAATTTTTCGGCATTTGTTGCTTGATTGGATCGTATATCGAAGAGACAAGAATAGTAAACGACCAAATCATTGATCATTGCATTTGCATTTTCATTTTCTAAAAATCAATTATGATTCGGTTTTGGTTATAACGGATTCTCAATGAAGGTAAAAAGTAAAAGTAGATATATTTTAAGCAGTTTACTCTCAGTGATATTTCTTTTTCTTTTTATTATCTTCTACCGGAATAACAGCCCTTGGCCGTATAAAATCTGGACAAATCCGGTAACGTAGAACCGGTGGTTAGGGTAATTTTCTTTCTTTCTCGCTCTCTCTCTCTCTCTGTCCCTCTCTCTCTATCTCACACTTTTATTAAATACTCGTGTCGATCTCGATCGAGTAACTGGTCAAGGAGGCCCACCAAAAGTACAGTGGTTTTTTATATAGAATATATGCATGCATATACATATTTCTCTGGCGACCATACACAGAAATGCATACGAGTATATAAGTTTTTTTAAGCACATATGTTTGTTAGATATGTATATCGGTAACACCGCGACCACGTGGCGGAAATTCCGCATGTGCCATAGTGAAAGTGAATTCAACACATAAATTAACACATACACACTGGTACTTATCATATATGTATATATATATATGTATATATGTCAGCATACTTGTGCAGTTATGCGTTTCCCTATTCGCGTGCTTGTCTGCCATTTTTATAATAGTTGAATACCGTCAAATTACAGACATGTCTGCTGCTGCTCAACACTACTGCTGCTTACATATACATATACATACATTTTTATATCCTGAACAGGATCAATTCAGTTTGCTACAATGTTTGTAATACACAGAAGGAACGTTGGAGACTCTACAGAGTATATGCATATATGAACTGAGTCGATTTTTGACATCTGTCCGTCTGTATACCTATAAGCGTACTAGTCCCTTAGATGTTGAGATATCGATTTGAAATTTTACACACATCACTTGCTCACTAAGACACTGCTTATTTGTTGGAATCGCTGATATCGGATCACTTTAGCATATAGCTACCATACAAACTGATCGGTCAAAATCAAGACATTATAGGAAAAAAAATTTTATTTGAAAAGATATCTTCACGAAATTTGGCGTAGATTATTGTTTAAAGCAAGACTACAATCTACAAATATATTGTTCGGATCGGACCACTTTAATATATAGCTGCCATACAAACAGACCGATCAAAATCAAGATAAATATATTTTTATACCCTTTTATGCTATAAAAATGCACTTGCGAAGGGTATTGTAGCTTCGGTGTAACCGAAGTTAATGGGTTTTCTTGTTTTACATATGTACATACATGCATACATACATACATATATGCTTAAATATAGCGAACAGCGAAATGTTAACCCTTTTCTATTTCATATATTTGATTTGCTGATTTTTGGTTTCTTTTTGTTTTTGTATTTAACATGGCTTGTTGCTGCAAACATACACACATATACCCCTATACACATATACATACATACAAATGCCACACGGCGCCATAAAAGGCGTACGCCATTATATTTATTCAATGCTGACGCTCAAGTCTGACTTTTATAGTAAATAATACCTATGCACAGACTTTCATACATATAAGTAAAATATGTAAGTAGTTGTATGTGTATACAACATGAAGTGGTTAATAATAAATAGCTTGTCTGATTATTGCATACAATTTGAATTGACCGGGCGGTCACACTGCGAGTGTCAGGACATTCATTAAATGCCTACATGCTTCGGTGAAGGTTTCTATATACCATAAATAGACAGATAGAAATTGGAACTAGGTACATACATATAGAATATTATTTCGTCAGAAATCAGTCAAAGGAAAAGAATGTTTTCAAACTTGCTTGCCCGCGTTGCCTTTCTAATTTCTTATTCTACAATTCTTCTTTGCTAATTTGTAAGGGGTATCGCGAAATGCTTCGCAAATCTTTTCGTTTGCTCGAAATTTTCATAATCTGATTATGTCTCTTTACCTCAAAAAACTCAGACAAGTCTTCATACTTTTTTCCTTAACACAGGATTTGCACTTATTTTCATGACGGTCTATTTCCTCGCTTCAACCCTACCGCTACCATAGATCTAATTCTTTAGCATTGTAGCACAGAAAATTAGGCTAAACTCGCTGCGTGTTCTCTTACCGGAGACTTAATTCCATGTCTGATTCTCACAACAAAGTAAGACAAGTCCTCATTCCTTTTACCGTAAGAGTTGCACTTGATTTCATGGCGTTCCATTTCTTCGATTCAAGTCTTCTGGCACAGATCTAAAGCTTTCGGGTTGTAGGACGGAAAATCGGGTTGGACTTTTTGCAAGTTCATACAACAAACTCAGTCAAATCGCCATAGCTTTTCTCTAACCGCAGAATTTCCGTTTATTTTCATGACAGCCTACTTCCTCGATTCCAATCTTCTACCACAGATCTAATTCTTTCGGATTGTAGTAGAGAAAATCGGCCTAGACTCCCTGCGAGTTAATGTTAAAATGGATTTTACCAACGATTTTTAGCTAAGCGGCATTTTATGAGTTATTGGAGTATACCTTTCTAGCTTCATAAAGGTCTTAGTAATTTTACAGAACACCGATATTATTCCTTAAGAAGGGAGTATAAACTCAACCTAACGAGTCCAAAATGGATTTTAACGCAGGCATGTGTAGATGGAATGAGTGAACTGGCTTAGGCTTATATACCTTTTGAAGAATTTCCCGAGAAATACGCTTATAATCAGGAGTTTAAGCTCGTAGCAAAGCATGAGCTGTTGTCTCGTGGATTCAGACTCAGGACTAAGCCTA